CTACAACGACTACGACTACGACGACGACGACGACGACGACGACGACGACGACGACGACTACTACTACTACTACTACTTCTACTACTACTACTACTATTACTAGTACTACCGCTACTACTACTACTACGACTACGACTACTACTACTACTACAACTACTACTACTACTACTACTACTACTACTATCCATCCTTGCAGTGCTACTACTACTACTACTGCTACTACTACTACTGCTACGACTACGACTACTATTGTTAGTACTTGTACGATTACTACTACTACTACTACGACCACTACTACTACTACTACTACTACTACTACTACTACTACTACTACTACTACTACTACTACGACTACAACTACTACTACTACTACTACTACTACTACTACTACTGCTACAACTGCTACGACGACTACTACTACTACTACTACTACTACCACTGCTACCAGTACTAGTAGTAGTAGTAGTACTACTACTACTACCACTAATGTTATTAGTCGGAACTGCAATTGGCACTACTACTGCGACGACGACTACTGCTACTACTTCTACCACTATTACTATTACTATTATTCGTGCTATTGTTACTACTACCGTCACTACTACTACTACTACTACTACTACCACTACTACTACTACTACTACTACTACAACTACTACGACTACTACGACTACTACTACTACTATTACTACTACTACTACTACTACTACTATTGCTATAACTCCTATTATTACTGCTACGATTACTGCTACGATCAACAGCAATAACTACTACGACTACTACTACTACTACTACTACAACAACTACTACTATTACTACGACGACTACTACTACTATTATTACTACTATCACGATTACCAGTACTACCACTACTACTACGACTGTTCCGAACCCTTTGATGAATACATCCCATCCGTACCTCCGTAGATACGAATTGTTGGTACTGTACATGTTTTATCCTTCCGAACCCCGAGTTTTATTACCCCCGCCGTGTGATTACCAGGCACACTCGCCCGCTTTTGTGGCTACCTTCCGTACCGAGGCATTGCTTACACCTCATCTACTTGGTGTTCACCATCCGTCAGCCAGCTCGGTGTGGATTTACGGTGGCGGTCTCCAAGAAAGCTAGAGTTGGCCGTTCCCCCCGATGGAATTTTCGCAGTTGGACGTATACATTTCCCAAAGAGTGCTTGCACTCAGGAGTCGTGCTAATGTTTCTTAAGCATTGAGCGGGCTCGCCGAGGATTTTCCACGATGCCGCCCTGCGCCGCCTCGTGGGCACTCGTGAGTGCCCCGTGGGTTTGCAGGGTTCGCAGAGGTTGCGCCGCGTCGCCGCCAGTGCCGTCTCGTGGGCGATCGTGGGCGCCCCATGCGTTCGGTGGGTCCGCCGGGGTTGCGCCACGTCGCCGCCCGTGGGCATTCGCCTTACACCACATAGCTTGCACCGAGTAGCTTGTACAACCTAGCTTACCCATCGTGGCGTGTACCGCCTGGCGGTCGCTTCCAGTTGCAGCTCTAACCGCATATGTTCTACGACGTTGCTTACATCACAGAGCTTCAGCCGCATAGCGTTCACTTTTATATCCCGCGCCACATGACCTACACGGTACAGTTTGCACTTTGTAGCTTGCACCGTATAGCTTCCGCGTCCACAGTGCAATATCCCATTGTTTGGGATTCACTTTGGCTAATGCATGTACTATTCCTATTCCTGCTTACGCACACACATACATATATATATATATATATATATATATATATATATATATATATATACACATGTATATACAAGTACATAGCGATGCGGAAAGGAACCCTGTGCATAGGCGCAGACACCCCAAACAGTGGCTGCACTCAGGGGCCCTTGTTCGGCTTGCGTGTTCAGTTGGTGTGCCAGGGTCTCGCCTGGTGCCTGGTTGGTGGCCGCCCGCAGGCACCTCCTAGCCGCCCCGTGCGCTGGGTAGGCGTGGCCTGGATTCTGCCAGGTGGGGCACCTCGTGGCCGCCCCGTGCGCTGGGTGTACCACATAGCGCCACAAACACCGCATCATGCAGCTTGCATATCACAGCTTGCACCAAATAGCTTACAACACATCGCCTTCACCACACGCGTTGTACCACCTATAGAATGCATCGCGTACATCATATTATATACTGCATGTTAGCCTGCCAGCGTGGGCCCCGAACGCTATCTTTACAGCACGGTGGCTGTATGAGATACTTGGTACAGCCACGCGGTGTCAGATATGTGGTACGAGTGAGGTGGTGCACCCTACATGATGTAGCTAACTTGGCACTGACCAAATCTCGCGCAACCATCCCACCCTGCCACGCACCACTGGTTCGGCAAAGCCCGCTCGGCCACGATTGCGGTTCCCGAGAGGGGCTCTGCTAGCGCGTCTCTGTGACCGCGCTGGCGCGCGCACGCTCGCGCGCAGAGCGACCAGGTTTGGCGCAAGTGGTGTGAAGGCGACTGCGCTGATTGGTGGGAATTCCTCGGCACGTCTCAGAGGCCACGCTCGCGCGCAGGCACTCCAGTGCGGGTCGCTGACTCAGGCGGGCGCGAGATCATAAGTATGTCGACAATGGCCGTGACGCTGATGACAGTAGCGGTGGTGGTGGCAAGGATGGCGATGACGGAGGCAAAGTCAATGACAGTGTCGATGCTAGTGACGACGATGACGATGATGATGTCCATTTTTTGGCGGTGAAAGTGATTGTGATGATGATGGGGAAATGGCGGCGATTGGTGTTGACGATAACGGCGGTGGTGCGGTGGCGCTGGTGAGGGTGATGAGGGGGTGCGTGCTCTCAGGGAATTGAGAAATGTGACGCCTTTAGTTGCCAAGTGTGTGTTCGGTTCACATGTTTGTGCGAAGCTCTAGCTTGAGATGTTTCGAACGCCACTGGTTTTGTAAGGATTACGACACCCGCGCGTGGCGGCGGGTGCATCTGGCCCGCATGCCATCATTGGTCATTGGTTCGTGCCTTGGGCGCATGCTAGAACACAGCGGATGCACCGCGTGGTGAGATGAACGTGTGGGTTTTGGGCGACATTGTTGAAATCATATGGTTTCCATATGCGTTCAGCAAGTGCGCGCAGGCGGAAACGCTGCAGCCTTTTCACTGGGCAACTTTTTTGGCTTGTACGGTTTGTGGCTGCAATATTTGAAGCACTCATGTGTTTGGTCTGATTCTGATTTGCGCGCGTGCGGGTTGTGGCAATATCAGGCAAGGAATTTGTGAGATAAGCGAGTACGCGCACATGGTGTTATTTGACAGGGGTGGCGGGGGGTAACGACGCCGGCCTTGCTGTGATGATATGGTTTCATTCGGAGCACGAACGATAGGTCATAACCACATGAAATTTCGAACCTCCCCGGGGGAGGTAACTCCGGGCCCAGGAGGGTGGTAGAGTCTTTTCTTCTTTAGAAGAGAGGAATTTGCGTGGTGCATGCTTTGTTGTGAAAGGTAGTATGCGGTGCAAGCTGTGTGGTGGAAGCTCTGTGGCGTCAACCATGTGGTGCAAACTAGGTGATGCATGCCATGAAGTATAAGCCTTGGTGTCCATCTACGTGGTGCAGTAGACGTGGTGCAACATGTGTGGTGTATGGTATTTTGTGTAGACTATGCGGTGCATTCTATATGGTGCATTCTATATGGTGCAATCTAAGTGGTGCACGTTGCGGAACCTCGGCGTACCCCCCAAACGGCCGACACCCTGACATCCCAACAAGCGCGCCACCAGCCGAACCCCCTCCATACCCATCCAGTTCTTCACATCACCTGGGGGGAACTATCTTCAGTACTTTCTGGGGCCGAAGTCACATCGATTGCAAACCATACATCGCACAACCTCGTAGCGCACCACATCGCTATACTACATGTTTCGCCACATGGGACGCACTAGATAGTTTGCATCACACATACGTATCAACATCATCGGTTGCACAATAAGGGTTGCACCACATAGAGGGCAACACATAGCTTGCACCACACTGGTTGCATCAGGTATATTGTGTGCCACATCGATTGCGCCGCATAGCTCCCACTACACCTGATACACCAAGAGCGCAACAAGGTTGCAGTACACATGTGATCTCACTCTAGCAACTATTCATTCCCCAAACGGTGCTTGCACTTGGGGATCCTTCTGTGTCTTCGAAGCACTTTGCTGCCAGCTTCGGTTTTTCACCAGGTAGTGCCTCGTGGGCGCCTCGTGCTTTCTCGTCGTTTCAGGATTCTTGCCCTGTCGCCGCCCGTTGCGCCTCGTGGGCGCATCGTGCGCTGACATGAGCTCCTGGGTTGCGCCTCGAGGGGTGCGGCGCCCACGCGCTGCCACGTGGGCGAAGCGCCCCGGACCCAGCCAGCGCACGGGGCGCCCACGAGGTGCCCTTGGGCGGCCACCTGGCGCAAACCCTTTACGTGCGTGCGAGGTCTGGTTCGGCCAGTGTATTTTGCGGCTCGAAGTCAAAAGTCTTTTCACAAGGCCAGGCAGATGCGAAAACGCGCAATCACAGTTTGGAAGCTCTTTGCGCTCCTCACGTGTACCCTGCAATCCCCCCTTTCCTGGCCCTCTTCTCCCTTCTTCTGCCTTTTCCCTCGTCCTTCCTCCGCTCCATCCTCCCACTCCCCATCTCTCCTCGTCCTCCTTCCCCTCTTGCTCTGAGCCTCCTCGTCCTTCTCTTCCTCCTCCTCATCCTCTCCAATACAGCCTCGAGCCTCCTCCGCATTCCTCTTCATTCCTTTCCATTCGTCCTCATTCCTCCTCATTCCTCCTCGTCTTCCCTTCGCCTTCCTTCAGTTCCTCTCCACTTCATCCTCCCGGTCCTCCTCCTCCTCCTTCTCCTCCTCTGTGTCCTTCTCCATATTGTGCCACTGTTCCCCCTTGTCCTTCCAGTCCTTCTGCTCATGCGAGGGCAGCGGTGCCTTGATAACGTCAACTGTTCCGTCGGCGCATACTTTGCGCTGGTCCAGCAGTCAGACAGACTCACCCGCGAG